GAGAAGGAGATTAAAAAAGCTAATATTCCTATCATGGACACTGGCGAAAACCCAGAGGTGCCTTTTCCTCGTGACATGATTGACCTGGAGGTAATGATGTGTTAAGACTCAACTAGTGTTTCACTCAGAATGGAAACAGGGAAAATTGTCCTTATGGGTCGATGCCTGCAGAGCTCAGCAGCAGAGGGGCATTGGCTCAGTCCCCAGCTGGCCCTGGATGTGGCTCTGCCACCTCACATGGGCTGGGTGTGACTCACAACACTGTGCTGCTTCTGTGTTTATCCAAGCAGAAGTGAAAGCCCTTAATAGGAATTTCACTGTCAAAATGAGCCAAAACCTGCTGGAACTACATGATTTATGGTGGTGGGTCATAAAGTTTATTAGGGTTTAATGATTTGAAGAAACAGCATCAATCCAGTCCATAAAGGACTGGCTGAGTGTGAGAAGTCTGCAGTTGCCTTAAAAGAATGTGGCAAATCTGGATCTGTGCCACAGCACTGTGGAGACACACCTGTAATTCCATAGAAATTAGGTGGGGATGTGAAGTATCTCATCTGCTTCCGTGTTCAGTGCTAGACTGAACAGCACTTATTTATCAAATTGCTTTAAGTCCCTTCTCTTTTTCACGTCTTGCAGGCAAACTTTGAGAAAATTGAAAACGAGCTTAAAGAAATCAACACCAACCAGGAGGCTCTGAAGAAAAACTTCTTGGAGCTGACAGAATTAAAATTTATACTGCGTAAAACTCAGCAGTTTTTTGATGAGGTCAGAATACCGGGGGGGGGGGTTAACACTTGGGGAGCTGGTTCTTCTAGAAATTACCATTTTTATTCTCAGATATATTTCAGTTGCTCTTTTGGGTAGCAGCATCATTTTATGCTTTGTTTAAGAAAGCTTCTCAAATTGTTTTCCATTTTTCATGCAGAACACACAGCTACCCATGATTTACCTCCTACAATGCTGGTTTGGGTTTGTTCTAGTTAAGCGATGATTTGTTTAAAAATTGTGTAAAATAGTTAAGACATGAGCATTTTTAAAGCACATCAACAGCCCCGAAATTTGGTGCTACAGTGCATACTGTCCCAAGTGGGTTGGAGTCTCTTTGGTGCACATGCAGAGGAGTTACAATCAAGCTGAATTTGTCTTCAGCCTTTGAACTGTTATGTGGAGACTAATCAGGGTCATAATATAAAGTCCTCTGAAGTAATAGATTAATTAATTGATTGAGCCTTTGATCAAATCCTGAAGGTTTCAGAGGTCAGTTCCGGAGCAAAGCTGCCATATAAAGTCTTTGATATTTTGTTAATTATCAGCTGGGCCAGGAACTGGCAGCTTTCACTGGATCTGAGAGGAACTTCTCCAGTGTCATTCATGGCACCAACATAAATCCTGCTTGGGAGAAGACACAACCCTTCCTCGTCTAGGCAGTCTTCCCAGAGAGCTCCTGGGTGTTTTTCAGGACACATTTTTGCCGAGTAGTTGTCCTGTTTCCTCTGATTCCAGGATTTGATCAAAGAGTTCTTGACAGAAGTGGCTCCTGGTGTTTACGAGGGCTGTTGTCGAGCGGAGCTGGGCTCCTGCACGCTTCAGGCCGTTGATCTAACAGTTTGTTTCTTGGTGTTTTGGCACAAGATGCTGCCTGTTCAGGCACCGAGGTTGGTCCTGTGCCACCACCAGTCGTAGTCACTGCTGACACAGATACTGCTGCTGATGTGAGGGTTGATGGGTCGTGGGGTTGATTTCAGTACAAGAAAACAGTCGTCTTCGAGTGTTGAATGTTCACTTCCTGTTTGTCCAAGGGACACTTGTATTCCCTGATAATCTATTACTTTGCTGTGTTAAGGTGCTACCACCTGTTCTGAGTATTAAGTAAAATCAGGTACAGCTGGTGCTGAGCACTTTTATATCAAGAATGAATCCCAAACTAGTAAGGATTGGGAGGGACCTTAGAACTCTTCCCCTTCCACCCCCTGCCATGGACAGGGACACTTTCCACTAGACCAGGTTGCTCCAAGCCCCATCCAACCTGGCCTTGTTAATTACTGTCCTTTCTGGTGAGAGCTGCCCACTGCTTTTCTTCAAGTGCAGGTTGATCATACTAAGTTTAAAGATGAAAATCAATTTTCTAAACAGTCCATGTCAGGTCACCCACGGAAGGGAGCTCATGGCAGCCTTACATGAACCGGCCACAGAGAGCTTAGATATGTTCTGCTCCTCTTTGATAAGGTTTTCTCTAGTAATAAAATATACCAAATAACATGTGCTGCTCTATGTAAAAGCAAGCTGAACAGCTTATGGGTGATGTTCAGTAGAACATAAGTGTGGACAGTTTAAACCTGTCTCAGTTCACACTGTGCTCAGCAAACAGGCAAGTGAGAGCCCTGAGCAGCCCAGGGCATGTGCCTGGTGCTTCTGCTCACCATCCCAGAGTGGTCAACGCTCCCTTTCCCCAGACTGCCATTGCTCAGCACCTTCAACACTTGAAGACTTCAATGAGTGGTAATTAAGATTGTGTTATTCATAGTAATGAGTTGCACAAGAAATGGCTGGCTCTCCAAATTCCTTCATACTTGGTGTTCCCTCTCCAGAGTTTGAGCACAGGGGGAGGGTGGGTGGCAAAATGTTCCCCTGTTCTTCCTGTGACCATTCCAGCCCAAGAAGCCATTTCTTGTTCCAACACACCATGTTGATGATTATGCTCCTTTTCTCAGTCTTCTTGTCTTTGCTTATGAAGAACAGTATGAGCTGGAGAGATTTCTCTGAGAGCTTTTCCTTGAGTGTGAGCGTAAAAGAAGACTGGAAAAGTAACGGTTAATGGCATGCAGTCCCCTCCTCCTCCCTCTAACTCTTCTGCCATCTGCTTTTCTCTATCTGCTTTGCATCTGTCACTTCTGTCTGGCTCTGGGTTAATTGTTAGATGGTGACATGAATCCTTTTAAGTTCTTGTGAACACTGATTTTTGTTCTCTTTGTGACCTGGAAGGGGCTTGAATTGTATTGGGTTGTTTTGGGCATCCAGAGCTGTTACAGGGCAGGACTGGAATCAAGAAATGGGGAAAATGAACCACTTTTGAGATTCAGGGTGCTGATCTGAGTACTGATCAGGGGAACAATAAGCAATTTAAAAATGTTCAATAGGGAAAGCTCTGCTTCTTGATTACTGACATGGAAATGTAGGGGAGTTCCAATCCTGAATGACCTGATGTAGTAAAAGCACTCCACAATAACTCTGACATTTTATTTGGTGCTGGCAAAAACTCGTATTCAAAGTAAATTTCCCAGAACCCTGTTTTCCCACGTTGGAACTGGATAGTTCTTCCATTTGCACATATTCTCAATATTTTAGTAAAACTGGTCTAACCTACATTTATTCTAAACTGTTTTGTTTTGTAATTCCATCCCCTCTAAGCAGGACGTGTCCTGAATAAAGGACACGTAACCCAAAGGGACCAAGGTAATGTTAAAAATTTATAACAAATTCTCTCAGGTGGGGCAGATCCAAAGTTGTCATGTGTGCTGTCCTTCCTTTTTCATGTTTCATCTGCTAAAACGTGGTACACTTCACAAAAAAAATATCAGACAGTGTCTTGATGACTGTGAATACAATACAAGCCTCTTAAAATTGTAACTTAGTGTTCTTCAGTGTCCTGAAATTGAGATGTCAAACAATCACCAGGATGTTTGGTCTGTGTGTTTCTTTTTGGGGTACCAAACTTTCTTATTTTGGTTGTGTCCTCTATGAAGCAAAATTTTCATTCAGTTTTTTGATGTTGCAACAAGTTGCCTTAAAGTTGAAAGGACCAGGAGTTCCTCGTGTTGCCTTTCCAATCTAAATGAAGGGCTCCCTCTCTTGTGTGACGTGGGTAAGCTGCAGCTAGTGTTTGTACAAGCAATCGAGCTGCACTGGGTGTCAGCCTTGCAAAAACTCTTGTATATGACAAACACTTTTATTTACCAAACAATAAAGTGTTGGAGATGTTTTTGCTAAAATTCTGATGCAACTGTGGCCCAAATAGAGAAGCTGGGGCTGAGTCACTGCACTTTTGCAAGGCTGCACTGTGTGTGTGCATCTGGCGTGGCCTTGGGTCTTCCACTGTGTTTCAGCAACTTCCCTTGATGGCTCTATGAGGAAGACCTCCTGTGTACCACAGAGGGTAGACTTGGGCCCTCTGGTCGTGCTCAGGAACTGTGATTTTTGGCATTTCATTATATAAGCTGCAGAGGTAAAACTAAGTGTGAGGCGGGGTTGAACGAGTGTGAAGACAGTGCATTAAGAGTGATGTGATTTGAGCATCCTTGACCTGAATTGCTGACACTTACAAGCTGTATTCCTAAGAATTTTAGCATGCAAATGAGTTGCAATGAAGGACAGTGTAAAACTGTCCTGTTTTAATGCCTGGTTGTCCAAGAGCCTCATCACCAGCCTGCCCTAAGCAACCCATCTGGTGTGTCTGGTTGTGAGACATGGTGAATAAGGATAAATTAATTTAATATCTGGGGAAATATGAAAGTCAAGTGTGTTTCTCTGGTTTGTGCCATTAAAAATGGTTCTTGGGAACATCACTTGTACTTAAAACTTGAAATTTTTTTTTAATTCTGCCTTTCTTCAGACTTATATATCCCCCAACCCCTTTGTTGCAACAATCCTCAAACCTTTCTTGTATGGAAGCCCTGCTGAGCCATTTCACTTTTCCTCTTGTTTTTCTCCTTCCATGTGTAATTCTTGCTGTCTTTTCTGTCATCTCGTTCCTCTTTTTGCGGTCTTATGTTTGTTCTTTCTTTTCTTCCTTCTTTTCTTTCTTTGTCTCCCCCAACTGTCTCCTGGCTCCTCATTCCCTGCATGCCACTAACTGGTTTCATTAGATATTAATTGATTTGTGAATTCAGGCTGAATTGCATCATCAGCAGATGGCGGATCCAGACCTGTTGGAAGAATCCTCTTCACTGCTGGAGCCGAGTGAGATGGGAAGAGGTGCCCCACTCCGACTTGGGTAATGGCAGTTTGGGCTATGACTGGCACTGGGGTTGTTGGATTGGGGATTATGAGCCTGTGGAATCAGCAATGATTTGATCACAGCTGTGGAACTTTCCACCCCAAGCAGATGAAAACTGATCTAAAACCAGCTGTTGCTCTCTGCTCTTGTCCTGCCTACATTAACTTCCCAGTTCGTGATTGTGCTTCACATGTTTCTCTGCACCAGTGAATTATCCCAGTTTGTTCCATGTAAATCTGTCTGGTTGTTTTTGAGACCTCCTGAACTCTCACAGCTTTGTTGGAAGCTGTAACTACCACGAGCACATAATGCTCTGAAATAAGTGCATAGTTCTATATCCTCTTTATCAACTGCTTCCAGGCTTCCTTGTGTGTGTGTGTAATTCTTTGTCTGGATGTGGGTGTTTGGGCTGGTGAGGTCTGAAGCATGAGCCCAGGGCACAATCACTGGCAGCCGTGGCTGCTCTAACCCTTGCAGCCGATGTACCAGAACCCCTGGGAAATGGAGCCTAGAAACTGTATATCTAAATGCATTTGTTTCTTCTATGAGCAGTGGTTTATTTTTACAAAAAACCCACTACCTGTGCAGTTGGTTTGTTGTGTGTTACCTCCGTTATTTTTAGAGGACCTTCCATTTTGCTTAAAGAGCTAATGTTACAACAAGCTCTTTGTAGCTCTCCAATGCGATGCTGACCCCCCCCCCAGTTGCCGTGGCGTGCTGGGGTGTGAGGCTCTGGGGTGGTTTGGGTGCAGCCCCTCACGTCTGTGCTGTCCCCTGGCAGGTTCGTGGCTGGCGTGATCAACCGCGAGCGCATCCCCACGTTCGAGCGCATGTTGTGGCGCGTGTGCCGCGGGAACGTGTTCCTGCGCCAGGCCGAGATCGAGAACCCGCTGGAGGATCCCGTCACGGTAACAGGGACTGTCGGGGGCAGCAGCAGAAGCCTCTGATGTGTAACAGCTGTGGGCCTGTAGATGGAAGCCTGTGTCCCTCTGAGCTCCCTGCAGCAAACGTTTGGGTCACGTCCCTTCCCGGCACCTACTGCAGCCTCTGAGCTTCAGCGACAAATGTTTTCCCATTTTAGTGAAACAAAAATAGCAGGCTGGATAGGCAGTGCTGTTGAAAAGGGGAAAACAACTCAAAACATGGACTGCAGCAGGTCCTAGTGACTTCTCTGACCCAAACTACAAGTGCAGCTCCTGTATGTACACAGTTCTGTGTGACTGGTGATCCTCCTTGGAAGAGGCTCTTTGGGACACAGGCAGTGTGTCAGATCTGAAACTCGTTTACTCTGAACTTGGACTTTTCCTTTTTTCTTAATTTGCTACTCGATAATTTAAACACCTGCCCGAGAACTGTTGGCTTTAGTAAAAATAGAAATAATTTAGTAAATTATATAAAATTATAATTATATATTATATAATTATAAAATTTATATCTATAAATTTAGTAAAGATAGAAAAGTAAACATTGTGATTGGGCCTGGTTTACATCCAGTGTCCTCTGCACTCAAACCAGTGGGCACTTCCCAAACTTGGGGAACCCTTGCTCTTACCCAATAAAGGTTGTGTGGGGTCTGCATGGGAGCTGCCCTGGAACACAGACCCAGGAGGTGAAGTTCAGTAACACCTCTCTTTCTCACAAAAGACTGATGTGTTCCCTTGTCCCTCTGACCACTGGTAGCTGACCTGTGGAATCATCTGTCTGCTCGGAGAAACTTTGTTCTTATTGTGCAGAACTTCCTTAAATTGAGGTTACACCTAATGTAATTATTCCTGAAACATTATGTTAAAATTTCCTAAGTAAGGTAGAACAATAACTTGTCAACAAATGCAGGAAAGGGGCCCTGGCTGCCCCCACGGACACAGCTGTGCAAGGAATGTGCCGCCGGCCTCCCTGGGAAGGGAGTGGTTAAACTCCCCTTCATCTTATCTTTATTCACTCTGTAGCTTTTGGCTTGATTCTGTAGATGAGCTGACTGCACTATGTGCAGATAAATATTTCATTGCATCTCCATTATTTTTGGAGATCTTCCCAGGTTTTCCCTTTTATTATATTGCATATAATCGATAATGGATAATCTGGGACATTTTGCTTCAGTGAACACAAATACAATGCAGGTATTCTGTACTGAGGCTGAGAAAATTGCTCTCCTTGTGGCTGTTTCAGTGTTACTCAGGTACATTCTTGACCCACTGTGCACATCTGAACTCTGATGTACAGACTCAGTGGAAGGAAAAGGAGAGCTCTGGCAATTAGCTGTCATGCTAATTTCTACAATTCTTTCCTCTGTTCTTAGGGGGATTATGTGCACAAGTCTGTGTTTATCATCTTCTTCCAAGGTGACCAGCTGAAGAACAGAGTCAAGAAGATCTGTGAAGGGTATGAAAGTCTGACAGCTGGGCAGCTCTCAATTATTTTAAGATTGACATGACTTGTTATTTCTCAACTCCTTATTTCACGGTGGCTGCAGGAGCACATGTTTTGACAGCAAATGAAATGTGCCATAAGTAGCTGAAACATATTTTACAGTCAAACTTGCCACTCCACAGCCTGTAATGCTCAAAAGTATACAACTGCTGTTCTAGGGAATGCCAAAATGAAGGGATTATTGAACTCTGGGACAGACCTGGTGGGATAGCAGTGGGATGTTCTCACAGGGGAGACAACAGTGAGTGCTTCTTGCAGCAGCTGCTGCTAGACAGCATTCCCCTGCACTGGCTGGCCAGCCTCGTGACTGTACCCTGAGACACTGGGAGCACAGGGAACAGAGGATTCTCTCTCACTTCCGTTTTCTTTAGCACAGCTTCTGTTTTGACCTAAAGCAAACTTATGCACTCCAGTGATTTAGAGCCTGGAGCTCTGCTCGGCAGTCTCTGCTGATCAGAAACTTCTCTTAAGGTGCTTCTGGCTTTATTTCTGAGCTCAGGCTCAACCCTGACCAACTGATCTTTTTTCCATCTCTGTCACTGAAGTGCTTCCCTGTCTTCCAGGTTCCGGGCCTCCCTCTATCCATGCCCAGAAACACCCCAGGAGCGGAAGGAAATGGCTTCTGGTGTCAATACCAGAATTGATGATCTTCAGATGGTAAAATAACTGGGGTCAATGCCCTTTCTTTCTTCTTTTATTTAGTGATATAGTTGAAAACTCCTCTGCATCCTATTAAAACAGGAGGAATTTTGGCCCTATTACATGACCTTGTTTTCAGCTCCAGGTGGCTTGAGCAGCTCAGCAGTGCAAGAGAGATGTTTGGAGACTGCTCAGTTGTTTCTGTGTCAGGGTTTGGAAGGGGGTGGTTTGATCTTTCTGTAGGGCTGAGCAGTTCATGGTATACAAGTAAGTACAGGGAACTCCATACCAGGGAGCAAAGAGGAACATGTGTGTGAGAGGAGATCCTGTGTGCTAAGGCTCTGAGAGCATGTTGTGTAATTGTCTGTTTCATCTGCAAGTACTTTGAAAACATTTAAACGTTTTTCCAAGCTGAGATAACAATGCTAACATTAACTTAGCTCTTCTTTTTTCTGCCTGTCTTCATATTTTCACGTTGTGCTGTCCTGAAGAGCTTCTGCTTTACAACTAATCTCTTGTGCAGCAGCCTGAGTGTTGGTAAAAAGTAACCAGCACCCAGATCTCCTGGGTGCCAGTTCTGAAATACCTGGTGCTTGCTTCAAGGAAGAAAGGCAGTATGTAATAATGCAGAAGGATTTAAGGGATTTGAGGCAAAAATTAAGACTATGTTAGAAACTAAAAGGAAAAAGAGTTGAATTTGACCTGCTTATTTGATACAGAAACTGTCTCAAGGTGGGAGTTGTGTAGCACGGCTGTTCAGCAATTTGAAAGTACACAAGGACTCAGAACCAATGTAACTGGGAGGATTCAAAGCTGCATGTGCTCTGTGTCCTCACTTTCCCTGCAGTCTAAGACTTTCCACTCTGGAAATCTGACTTGGCCTGAGTTTGATATGTTCCAGTTGGAAAACAGCCTCAGTAGGAAGCACTTTCTCCTTTTCCCTTCAGTAAACAAGTTTTTCAGGGTAATTTGTGTGTTTTTGCAAAACAGCAAACCCCTCACTTGCAGAGCTCTTCTCTGCTCTTTTAACCTGGGTGGAGGTATAATTTTTCCCTGTGACCTTGGCATAGTTCATTGTTTGAAACCACCGCTGACCTTGGGGCTGGAGGAGGAAAGTAATCAGAAAGCATCCCTGGAAAAAGTGTTTAGGCCCTTTAGCAGAACTAATTAACATGGGGCATGGGGCAGCCTGTGCGTGGGGTAGGGGAGCGGGCTCGTGGTTCATCCTCTGTGGGTAAGGCTTGTCTAGTCTTTGCACCTGGCCTCACCTTTTTCCTGCATCTCTGAAAGGTGCTGAACCAAACAGAGGATCATCGCCAGAGGGTTTTGCAGGCAGCTGCTAAAAACATCCGTGTCTGGTTCATCAAAGTGCGGAAGATGAAGGCGATTTACCACACCCTGAACCTGTGCAACATCGACGTGACACAGAAGTGCTTGATTGCTGAAGTCTGGTGTCCTGTTGCTGACCTCGATTCCATCCAGTTTGCTCTCAGGAGGGGCACTGTGAGTAGCTGCTGTGCCCGTCAGCTGTGGCAGCACTGCATGGATTCATTGGTTTTTCCAAATTGTGAGCCTCTGAAAACCATCCCCTTGGGCTGTTGGAATCAGCCCTCCCAGAGGACAGTTTATTTAACATGCAGGAATCATGATTTATACATAAATGTAACAAATATGTTGTGTAAAGGTTTAAGTTCAGGAGAATGCTGGACTGGTGAGGACTTTCCAGTGTGTGAGTCCTTTGGTCCATTTAGTTATCGTGGCTGTGCTCTATAGTCTTGATGTCTGGATACAGGAGCTCTCCAGGATGCTGGCAAGCTCACCCTCTGCTCAGACAGACAAGAGAGTTGAGTGTCTTGAAGTCCTTTCACTTGCTGTTTTAAAAAAACAAGCGAACTCTGTCGTACACAGAGAACGTTCACCCTTACTCCAAGTGGTTCTCCTCCTGCCACACAAAGTGGAGAGCAGTGGAATCCTGGCAGCCTTCCTCAGCTGCTCCAGTGTCTCATTGTGCAAGCAAACTGCAAGCATGCAAGCTTGCAGTTTTCCAAATGCCAGCAGGAGAGCCATGTCAGACTGTCCTCCGGTGCTCCAAGGGTGGGTTTACTGATCTCCCCTTTGGCTTTTTTCAAACAGGAGCACAGCGGATCCACCGTCCCATCTATTTTAAACAGGATGCAAACTAACCAGACCCCACCCACCTACAACAAAACAAATAAGTTTACTTCTGGCTTTCAAAACATTGTTGATGCTTACGGCATTGGGACATATCGGGAAATAAATCCAGGTAAATTCGGACTTGGAACAGTCCAAGACATCCACCTCAGTTTTTTAGTAATGATGTTTCTCTGTATTGTCTGACCCGTGTGGGAATTTCTAATACTCAACAGCTTTCAGAAGCAGAGGGGAAGCTGTGGAATTTTATTGCTAAATTGCCTGAACTGTACCATGGTGAATCTGGGCTGACTCGCACACAGTGCCCTGAGACTGTCATCTCTCTTCCCTTACAGCACCCTATACCATCATCACCTTCCCATTCCTGTTTGCTGTGATGTTTGGGGATTTTGGCCACGGAATCCTGATGACTCTGATTGCTGTCTGGATGGTGGTGAGGGAAAGCCGGATTCTGTCCCAGAAGAGTGACAATGAGGTGAAGTGGCAGATCGTGCTGAGATTTGCATTTCAAACAAAGAGTTGCTGCTTGGTTTACTCCCATCCATTTCCCCTGGAGTTGACAATGTGCATTATTCCTCCTTTGGAATTTGTGAAACACATGAATAGGCTGGGAAGCCTGAGGAGCACGGACTTGAGTAGTGTAGTTTCATAATAGTATTGGGTTGCTTTGCTTTTTCTTTCAGATATTTATAGGAAATTGTTCCTTTTTGTTGTCTGCAGAAAATTATCAAGCAGTAGATAAGCTGGTGTAAACAAATCACCCCAACTTCTGTATGTATATATCCTATCTCCTCAGTTCTTTCTATTTACTGCTCAGGGTGGGATTTGCTTGCTCAGGGCTGACAGGAGCTGAGCCAGAGTTGAGATACACTGGCAGAGCATGGAGGAGGCTGACAGGGTCTGTGCTGCCTGGTTGCAAACTCACGCTGCCAACTGGGGGTTGCATCAGGCTGTGCAGTGCAGTTTATCCTCTCCAGCTAATCTCAGGTTCCCTGTGGACAGCCACACCACCCGTTTATCCTGGTTATCAGATTCTGTGCTGCCATGCTCCCTCTTGCTCCCTTTAATCCCTGCCAAGGGGAAATAGACACTTTGAGCTCTCAGTCCATACAGCTGATGTTTGTCCTAAAAAAGACTGAGTTCCCTGGTTTGTCTTTAGGAGGGACCTTCTCTGTTCTCATGGACCTTCTTTGTTCCTTTTGTGTTTTTCCATTAGATGTTCAACATGGTGTTCAGTGGTCGGTACATCATCCTGCTGATGGGGCTGTTCTCCACATACACAGGCCTCATCTACAACGACTGCTTCTCCAAGTCCCTCAACATGTTCGGTTCCTCGTGGAGCGTCCGGCCAATGTTCACTAAAGGCAACTGGTCGTGAGTAAACCCTTGGAAACTACATAAAGGCAGACAGTGAGAAGCAAGTGACTTGTCCTTCCCCATTGTCCTCCCACTTCAGGAAAACAAAAACTTCTGAACTCGGTCTCACGTAGAATTGGAAGAGGGCTGTGAATGGGACGATATCTATCAAGTTTCAAAACAGGTGGTTTTTTTCCCCCAGCAAATTTGTAAAGATGCAGTTTCTCACCTTCCTCCTTATAGACATGGCAAGATTCCTGTCCCCTGCACCTGTCTTCTTAGTGATACTGAGTAAAAGGTGGAGAAACAGGTTTTTTATTGATTTGGGAAAATCTCTAGGACCACATAGGAATCTTAAAGTTCTCTCAGTTTGAGCTAGTCCTTGCACTCACAAGGGAAGAGTGTTGTTAGTTTTTACACAAAGAGGATGGCATTGCTTGTGTTAATGTTTGTGTAATGTTATTCCCAAACAGAGATGCCTTGCTGGAGACCACCCCCCTGCTGCAGCTGGATCCTGCTATCCAGGGAGTGTTTGGTGGGCCCTACCCCTTTGGCATTGACCCGGTAAGAGCTCATCCTTCCTCTACAGCCACCTCTTTCCTGCAGCTTTGAGCTCCCATCGAAACAGGTTTGATTCCTGCTCAATGGTGGGCTCAGTCACCGTGAGACTTTTCCCAGCAGAAAACCTTGTCTGCTCATTTCCCCAAAAGATATCTGTGGGACAAACACAGCTTTAAAAACCTGCTCTTTCAGCCTGACATTTCCTGGCTGATTCATACTGTTTAGCTTAAAGGGAGCATTTTTCTTCTCCTGTTTTCCTTTCCCCAGTGTTTGCCTGACTGGGTGTTGTTTTTCACAGATCTGGAATATTGCCAGCAATAAGCTGGCCTTCCTCAATTCCTTCAAGATGAAGATGTCTGTGATTCTTGGCATTTTCCAGATGCTCTTTGGTGTCGCGTTGAGTCTCCTCAACCACATGTAAGTGCTTTGCTCTGTTTTTCTCGTGGTGAGGGGAACGTCTTTGGGTGTCGTGTGTGTTGGTTTAAGATGCTGGAGCCTGTCAGCCCTCACCTCCTGGTGGAAGGTGCAGTGCATTTGTTTCTGGCTGTGTGTGGAACTGTGTGTGTGTGAGGCAGTTCCTGTGCTCTGGCCCAGCTGTTGTTGAGCTGCTGAGTCCCTGCACTGTCGTTCCAAAGACACTCTTCATGCTCTCACTAAAAGCTTTTGCCCTAATTCTAACGAAATGTAATATTAAACTCTCTTTTTTTTTTTTTTTTTCCCTGTAGCTATTTTAAGAAGCCACTGAACATATACCTTGGATTTATCCCAGAAATGATTTTCATGTCCTCCCTCTTTGGATACCTTGTTATTCTCATCTTTTACAAGTGGACAGCCTATGATGCTCACACATCGAAGGAAGCACCGAGCCTCTTAATACACTTTATCAACATGTTTCTGTTCTCCTATGAGGATACCAGTAATAAGATGCTTTATAGTGGGCAGGTGCGTGCTCTTGCTAAAACAGGATCAGAGATGCTTTGTGATATTGGAGCATTTCATTGACCTCCTGATAATTGTGAAATGAAGTGTGAAACATTTTTCCTCTGTGACAGAAGGTTTCTGAAGGCTGATAATACGTGAAGTTGAAGAAGGAAGGAATAATCCCTATACCAGGAATTTAGATCAGTCTGAGCATGTCAGCTGTGGCTCCAGAACATTTGGATCCTGATTAATAGTGGAATGCAATTAGGAGTATTGCCCAGTCTCTGCAATGTAGTGCCTCAGCTTAGCTCAGACACAAACACCGTTTCCTTCTAGCACTATGAGACATCTGTCAAATTCTCATTCACTGCAGGATCTTTTGGATTTTTCCCTAATCTAACCCAGCCTCAGCATTGAATGCTGTATTCAGTCAGTGGGGGCAGCTGCAGGCCTTAAGTACAGCTCGTCTTGCTGTTCCCAGAAGAGAGACGTAGTGCAGCGTCCACATGCTGGGAATTCAGCCGTGCTTGCTGGGTTCTGTGTGTGTTTGAGCAGTGGCTGCCACTGAATCACCTGAGACTTGTTTCTTTTGCAGAAGGGGCTCCAGTGCTTCCTCGTGGTCGTGGCATTGCTGTGTGTGCCGTGGATGCTGGTAGCCAAACCCCTGGTCCTTCGCCAGCAGTATTTAAGGAGAAAACACTTGGTGGGTGACTCCCCCTTATATTTTCCACATGAAAACTAATTTTGGTTTAAAAGCTGTGTTTTCCATCTCGAGCTTGGATACATGGGTTCACACTGCATTGAGACTTGTAAAGTGTTTTTGCATATTCCTGGGCATACAGGGAGGTAGGTGTTAGTGGAGACAGAGTGTTGCCTGCCTGCTTCCCAGATCTGGATCCAGCATCAAACCTGCTTTTAAAACCCCTTTATGTTGGTAGTGATCAGAACAGTGTCTCTGGCTTGGGCTTCAGCAGCTGGTTTAGGAACAATCTCATTGGCTGCTGGATGCACTTCTGTGCCTGGGCTAGGCTGGCAGTTTCCCATTGATGAGAAACAGAGATGGGCTTGGTTCGCAGACTTCTCAGCTATCTTTGTTAAAGCAGTTTGGATGGTAAATGATAACAATTAAAAGGAAAAACAAACTTCCACAGTCACGTGAGAGGTGGTCTGCTGGCGTGCTCTGTAGGTTTCCAGCTGCACTGTGAAGTACCTGTGTGTGAGATGCAGGAGTGTGGCGCTCGTGTGAGTTCTCCCTGCATGTCGTGCCGAGCTGTGAGGATGTGCAGCGAGTCAAAGATCAGTTCAGTTACGGACACTCCCTCTCCCTTCTCTGACCATCTTTCATCCTCCCATGTCCCCTCCATTCGTCTCCCTTTCTCTTTTTGTTTTCTTCCTCCTCCCTCTCTCTTCTTCCATCCACCCCCAGGAAGGGCAGCCCGAGGAGGCCCAGGGCAGCACGAACGCGCAGGCGCTCGAGGCAGCAGCGGCTGCAACAGTGAGTGCTCTTCAAACTCGCCTGATGCATTACAGATGGGAGTTGGCTTTCTGTCTGATTATCGAGGGAGCATGGAATGTATCTGAGTATCGTAAGGGAATGACAAGTGCACCTTTAGGGTGAAAAACACTTTCTCTTGGAAAGAGCAAAGTTCAGCCAAATTGATACATTCTGGATGAACACCCAGGCTGGAGGATGATAGTTGTGCGTGCACAGAAACACTTCCTTGCAGGAGTGCTGCTTGAATCCAACATGCAGAGCAGCACAGGAATTCCTGCTACCACATCCCCCCAGGTTAAGTTCCCCTTTTTTTCCTTTTCTTGCATATTTGTTTAAGATAGATTAGGATTCTTCTCAGGGCAGCATTTCTGTTTGCATTACATGTTCCCAAACACACGGTGATGTGATGGCCTCCAGCAACTCTCTGTCAGTAATCACTGGATTTGTGACACCTCTGCCTTGTACACACTTTGACCTGAAACTGTTATGAAATGGTTGTGTACAAACAAGCCTCTCAGTGGCAATTGTTTCGACTTATCTGTCTAAGCCTAGGGATGGCCCTTTCCTACCAGAGCTTTCTGGTGAGGATTGTGGCAGCCCCCAGAACTAGATCCCCAGTGCTGCCTATTTCAGCTTGGTTTTAGTTGTGAATGCTGCCTGGCTGACTAGGAAGTGTGAATCTCACTGACTGTGTGAAGCACATCAGGCTCTCCATGTGCCAGGAAGGGACGGTTTAGCTGTTTCTCTTGTGACATTTTAGTTTCCGCACGAAAATGTCAGGCATGAAAATGGATCTTTTGTGCATGATCCATCCAGCGTATGAAGTGCATCTCCATCAGGGAACTGCAAGGGGAGGTCTTGCGTGAGGTGTGCTTAGAAGGATCAAGTAAATAATTGGAGTTGTTGGAGCCGTGTTTAGGTTGGATGGTTTACAGGGAATGGATACGAGTCAGGTGCGAGGGAAAAGCTGCAGAAGTGCAAATTCACACAGGCTGGAAATACATAAATAGAATATTGACATGAGTCATCAGTGACTTCTGGTGTTTCAGAGATGCTGAAAATCCTAATAAAAGCACTGTCTTAGTTGTAAATGTGGGGGTTTCTTTTAATTTATTTCTATTCACAGTATAAACACCTACCAAATTTGTTTTTAGAAACCTGACAAAATCTTTAATTCGCATCTGGCATTTTGGACAAATTTATAGTTCAGCCTAAAATGAAAGCAGGCTTATAAGGACAAATGAGGTAAAAGAACTCTGAGCAGCTGTTCTGCAGGTCTGTGCAAGTGTCAGGTCACAGGACCCTCAGCCTCCTTGATCTGCATGGGCATCCCTGAACTTCTGGAGTCTGGGTGTGGTGGGTCAGCTTGGTCACATCCCATGTCACAGGTGACCCAGGACAGCGCTGAAGCTAGACACAGGGTTTGTTTCTATTTGTGGTGTTGGAGTTTCCTTCTCTGGGGATCAGACTCACAGGGGTCAGGTGGGAACTGCTCCTGGTTCCAACGTTTCAGCTCAGTCTGCGGGTTGTTCTTTTCCCTTTGAGTCCTGGAGGTGCAGCTGAGGGTCAGATGCTGAACGTCAGAACAAATGTCTGTAAAAAAAAGCTGCTTGCACAAGGTAGTTTCCAAGCAGGGAAGGTCTGGTTTCCTGTGTGATGTTGGTGTGCCTGGGGCTGGTGGGAGCGAGTGTGTGTGTGTGTTTGTGTCAGCGTGTTCTGCTCTGTGACCTGCTCCAGGACCCAACAGTGGTGTGTCAGTGCTTGGCCAGCCATGCTGGGGAGGACATGGGCTGTTGCATATCAGAGCCAGCAAATGATCTCTGAGAGATTTGCCTTTATTTTCCTCAGGGTTGCAGTAACACAGTAGAAATGTGCCAAAGATTCATTCAGACAGACTTTTTTTTTGCCCCAGCAGGAATCAGCACCTTTCCCATCCGAGCTGGGAAATACCTGCCTTAACCTGGGCCTTAATATTTAATATTTTGTTTTCCTCTGTGAGCTGCTGCTGCACATGAAGTCATGAGAAACCTGCAGTTTTGCACTAAAACCCAAACAACACTTTGCTCTTTCTTTTCTGCATGTGTCAGGGCACGCACAACTTTGGTGGGATCCGGGTGGGCAATGGCCCAACGGAGGAGGATGCTGAGATCATTCAACATGACCAGTTATCTACCCATTCTGAGGAGGGGGAAGAGGTAAGCACCTGAGCATCCTCGCTCTCAGGGCACTGCACTCGGCAGCAGGATGAGCTCGCTGGGACTGAAGTTACTCATTTCCAGGCTGTTCAAACAGCAACATTCCCAGTGAAGTGTTTTCATAGCAGTTTTCTCACTGACTGTCTCTTAGTCACTCCTGGGACTCCAGAAAAAGCAGCATAATTTGCATATCATGGGAGATGTGGCTCTGTTTGTCCCCATGACAAGGAGCCACCATCTCAGGGGTGCACAGCACTCCCAGGTGGTACATGTTACCTGCTTCTCCCACGCCCTTGGAAATCCAGGGGCTGTATTTCTGAAGCGCTGAAATCCTGTTTATATATTCATTTTGACTGCTGGTGGTAATATTAATTACTTCCCTTTCCTCTGGGAGAGGAGAAGAGCAGTCATCTCACGTAGTTTGGGAGTTTTCTGATGCCTCTGAACGACTGCAGCAGATCCTGCCTCTGTAGTGCATGGGATGTGTTACTGCTTTCCGTGGCGTGTTTAGGAGGGAATTGCTGAATGTGTTCATGATTAATGTGATCGAGACACTGAACTAAATGTAAATTTGTGTTTTCAAGCCTACAGAGGACGAGGTGGTAAGAGCACAGCAGCTTTGCCTTCATGTGTACCTGGGCCATTTCCCATTGATGTAAAACGTGCTGAATTGAACATGTTATGTCACAGCATCTTGTTTTCAAAAAGATCTTCCTATTTACATGTTACGGGCCATTTTTAATTCATACATGCATACATTAACAGACTTTTAATTACTTTATCTGTACAGCTTGTCTGTCTGATCCCCTGTCTGCAGGTCATTCCCAGTTACCTGGGAAGCTGCTCAGCTGGAGGTCTGAAAATGAAAAGTTTTCACTTTTTGAGCCTCTGGAGAAGTCTCGGTTGCCTTATGTTGTGTCTTTGGTAATTCTGTGCTGCAGTAAACTGTTTAAAGAGCTTTTTTCCCCAAACTATCTGCCAGGTTAAGGATGACACTGGTTGACTCAGTGAGCAAATACAGCACAACCAGTCCAGTTTCATGTAGTTCAGCAGCTGAACTGGGCAGAAGCTTTGTGTAAAAGAGAAGCTCCATTCTGAGAAACTGCTCTTCCATAAGCACTTGTAGCAATTATTTAAAAAATGGACTTAGCAGTACTCATGCAGGATTGAGTGTAGGTTTCAGCACTATCAGGTAACCAATTTTATTACAAAAATTGCAAATGCCATGGAAATCAGAGCAGCTTGACCAGGGCACTGCTGCTGGAAATTGTGCTGACAGTGGTTTGCTCAGAGCTCTGCTGTGCACAGGCCCATGTGGAATGGGGGGCATGGGGTAGCGTGCTGGTGTACCTGATATCTCCCTGAACCTGGGGAAAATGGGTAAACCCACAAGGACTGTGCCACAGCAATCTCAGTGCTCCCACTCCTGGCACAGTGGTCGTTCTCTCAGGCAGTTGCACTTGGGCTGTGAACAGTCATTGTTTAAACATTTCACATTTCCCACATTCCCGGAGCTGCCGCCCGGCTCGTGTGTGCAGGAGCTGGAACTGAAGAACTTCACAGCTCACGTTCTGTGCAGGAAGAATTAGGCTTTTGACAGCTAATTTAACTGAATTGTTTGAAATATTTATTGCCTTGGATATACTGGGGGAGAAATAAGAATATAAATAGCTTTGTGTTCATGCCTAGAGCGTTAGTCACTGGATGTATTTAAAACATCGTGTTCACTTAAATCTGAGCAGTTTCTGGAGCATGGATTAAATCCAAAATGCAGGGAATGCTTTCCCAAGCTGCAGAATAAGAAACTGCACTACATGGTAGACTTCCTTGTAAGTTCTTTTATTATTGCAGAAAATTACCAAGACACAGAGACTTTGCCAGTGAATGGTGCACAGATGTGACTTTTTCAGGATAGCTTCATGCATTATTTTTGCTTTCAAAAAGGGCGAGTTCATATCTTGCAAAATGCTCCTGTTGCTCCTTTAGCAAAGGCACAGACTGTACAGCTTGGAGCACTGTCTCCTTCCTGTAGAGGCACCTCTGAGGTACTGGGGAATGCACACCAACGCCATCTTCTGCTGAACAGTCTTTTCCTGGCTGAGCCCGTGGATGGATTTGGAATATCTGACTTTCACACACTAGAATGTGAAAACAATATTCAAGTCACAGCGTTTGTCGTTCTGCAAAACCTGGCGAGACAAGATCCATTTTTGCATTTATAAAACCGATGTGCTGAGCCAGGAGCAGACAGTGTCAGTGTGCAGCGTCACACATGGTGTCCCTGGCGATAGCAGCAGGTCCCCTGCCCGTGTCCCTGCCTGGCTGGCCCGTGCCGGGCTCCCAGCTCCCCTCACCCTGTGTTCCCTTTGCAGTTCGACTTCGGTGACACCGTGGTGTACCAGGCCATCCACACCATCGAGTACTGCCTGGGCTGCATCTCCAACACCGCGTCCTACCTGCGGCTCTGGGCCCTCAGCCTGGCCCACGCACGTGAGTGTCCCTCCTGGGGCTGAGCTGGGGGTCCCTGTGCCTGCTCCCCCAACACAGGGGGAGGCAGGGACACGAGGGGCCTCTCGGGGCTCAGCTGGCACGGGACAGTGCTCTGTGTGTGTGAGCTGGGAGCAGTGAGCTGCACACAGGGTCTGCTCCCACAGCTCTGCTGAACGGGAGGGAGGGAGCTAAAGACACGGAACAAGCAAAGAGCTGCTGAGCAAGCACTCTACCCTGTCCTGTGTGACAGCTGGAGGCAATGTCCTGACACATTCAGCTGTAAAAGCTCTGGCCCCTTTTCAGTTTCCCACCTCATTGTAGTGGAAGTTTGGTTGACTTTAGTTTTTGGTTGACTTTAGTTTGGTTGACTTTAGTTCCCACTGACACAAGCCCTCTCCTCCCCTTTCCCCTGGCAGAGCTCTCGGAGGTGCTCTGGACCATGGTGATCCACATTGGCCTCAGCGTGAGGAGCCTGGGGGGAGGCCTCGGCCTCTTCTTCATCTTTGCTGCTTTTGCCACCCTGACAGTGGCCATTCTGCTGGTCATGGAGGGGCTCTCAGCCTTCCTCCATGCTCTGCGTTTGCACTGGTGAGTTACTGGGACGTCCAGAAACTTGGGGAGCTCTTCATAGCAAGAAAATAGATGTCACCTGGACTGTGCAGAAAGGCCATATTCTAGAAGGCAGAAAGTCTTTAAAAGAGTCAGATTTCAATCCTGTTGGTAGAGCAGCACCTGTCTCCTGATTGTTGCTTAGAAATTGTGGAGAGTAACTGAGCTCTGCTTAAAAATAAGCACTAAAAGGCTAAGGCTTTAAGACCAAAGCTTTGGGACCAGGGGGTAGGGAGGCTCTGGGCAGATCTGGGCAGATGAGTGTGCTTGTGGCTTTCAGCAGGACTTTCTCGTTCTGTCTTTTTGTCTTTTCCCTGGTTCCTGTGTTTATTGTCTTTCATGTGCAATAGCCACTGACTGCAATTTCCTTCTCATGCTCTTATTCATCATCATAAGACCTTGCCTTGGACAGGAGTGGCTTTGCCCTCTGCCCTCAGGGTGCTGTGGGATGGCAGCGAGTTTTTGCTGGTCTTGCTTTTTGCAGATGCTTTTGCAGCTCCTTTCCCATGATCACTGAGCTCCTGTGTATGCAGCCAGCAAAGCAGAAGGAATTCCTCTGCTCCCAAGTGTGGAAAGTGTTCAAGAGCTTTCTCTAATCCATGTTTAAGAGCACTTATTGTTCCACTTCAGATTGCCTGGTTAGTGGACTGGTGGGATCAAAGGAGCAACTGGGAGTGGGGTTTGCTCAGCCTGAAGCGTAGGAGAGCCTGTGCCTCTGTGGGGTTCAGGCAACTGCCACCTCCTCAGACTGCTGATTTCCTGGGGGGTCAGAAGTGCAAAGGGAAGTCCCATGCAGATCACAAGGAATGTTCTGTCTTGCTTAAATGGGAAGAAAAGTTTGGGAGCACTCTCTGAAAGTAGTTCCGTAAGTGCAAAAGGTGCAATGCCTTTAAAAAAAAAGGGGGAAAGAAAATCAGCCTTTTTGGACTTTTCCCCTGCTTGCGTGGAGGGAAAACTTTGGCCTTTTGCCCTCTCCACTGGCAGCTGGGGGGTCCTGGCCCACCTGTGTCTCTGTAGCCGAGTGAGCTGAGCTCACTCCAGGATCCCGGGGCGAAGCCATCTTGTGCCGAGGGAGCAGGGGGGGCACTGCTGGAAATGGCTGCTGGATGGTGCCTCTGTTTTTCCTGGCATCCAGCCTGAACCCTCCCTAGCAGTCACTCGAGAGCTCCCCTCTGGCTGGACGGAGGGCCCTCACCCTCTCCCTGCTGTCACCGCGGGGCCATTGCAGCAGCAACAGCAGGAGCCCTGCAGACCCTGCCAGGCACTGAGAGCAGTCCAAGGGGAGCAGAGAGCAGCAGTGCTGTAACTCCAGATGTGGTGGGTTTGCTCTGCAATTCCTTGTGAATTAGAGGATTTCCAGGGTCTGGCCTCTCTGGGCTGTGGAGCTGCATGGCTGTTTCTGAGCAGCAGCTGGGAAACAGCTCTGAGCAGCTGCTCTGGGCAGGCTGCTTGGCTCCTTTGGCACCCACAGGGATGGGCTCAGAGCAGAAAGCATGTTTTTGGGGAGGTACCTGTCTTGTGTTAATAACCACAATCTGCACCTATGGATACGGCTCACAGATACCTGGAACAGGTGTGAGCTGGAGGTCGTGGTTCAGGCAGGAGGTGGCTGCTCCCATTGCCAGGCTGTTCCTAAAGGGACATTAAAAAATCATCTGTAAATGTGTCAAGAGAAGACATAAGTCAGTGAAATGGCAAACAGGGAAACCCAGGTGCAGCAGCAGTGGGCACACAAATCACTCCAGCCCAGCAGACCAGTGCAGGGCACGGCCTGGCTGCAGAACTGCAGTGCTTATCAAAGTCCTGTTTTCCCTAAATGTGTTTTTCAGACTTGCAAGCCTATCATTTACACGCTCTGAGAGAAAGTCTGTTCAGGCTCAGAGCCCAAACACCAAGTTTAAGGCTCTATTTCAGACTGCAAGTGATCTGCTGAAATGATTTTGTGTTTGCTGTGTTGCTTATCACAGGGAGGCACCTTCAGTTGTTCCAAAGAACACACTGTTCACATTCCTTTTTGCTCCTGAAGCAAAAACAGGGTGTTCCAATGGCAGGTGTTCCCTTTTTAGGAGGAGAAAGGGGGAGTGAGGGTCAAATACAGCTGTCCTGGAAAGAGCAGATGGGATTTTCTGGCTGTGGGAGAAGAATCACCTATCAGGAATTCGAGGTGTGGGTGGCTCGGCCGTCCTGGAAAGGAGGAGGAATTGAACATGTGTTTTACTGGTGAGGGAGTGCCAGGTTGTTCCATGTGCTGTGCCTGGCAGTCCCAAAGGAGGGAGGTTTACTCTGTGCTTTTTGAGTGTGCATTCTTTGAGCAGGCTGGGTTTTTCAGGGCAGTCTGGAGTGGAGGCAGCACCCAGAGTGCTGGGTGTGCATCAGGGCTCCACTGCAGGTCGGCACCAGTCTGAGCTGTCGTGCTGTCAGCTCCTTTTACTGTAACTCTCCTGAAATAGTTTACCTTTCCATTTGCTTTTCAGTGATGCAGTTTGACGTGAATGTTCAGATTAAAGCAGCTTCCCCCCTTTTAAGCTAATCAGCTCTTCTCATGTGAGACAACAGACTGTGCCCAAAAGGAGAAGTTTAAAACTGTATTCAGAGTGCTGCTTCCCTGGAGGTGTGGGCGTGCTGGAGCTGCATCCTGCTCTCAATCCAGTGAGTGGGAGTGGTAGAGTCCAGCTCTCCACTCACCTGCCAGGATTTGATTTTCCTCTGTAAGAGTCACAAGCCAGTGCTTGCCTGCAGCGTGGCTGCAGGAGCTGCTGCTCCGAGGGGCAGTGCAGCCTCCTGTCAGGCAGGATGGAATCTCCCACAGTGCCTTTTCAGGAAGGAGTAACTGCAACAGTCTCTGCACAGACACCTCAGTGGGTTCTGACTGTCGGGTGTGCTGGAGGTCACCCCTCTCAAAGTGTGCCTGGGTAACACCTGACCCCAGGCTGTGGCACCTGCCTTTAGGAACACAAACACCAAGTGGGAATTTGCAGTTGTACCAAGTGACAGTCGGGGTTCCTGTTCCACAGCTGCCTGTGCAGCTGCTCCTGCTCATAGGACTGGAGCTGCCTGGTTTTCCAGTGTGGGTACCCCGACTCTGTGCAGTTGGAAAATCCACAGAAGTGGATTGCAGTCCAGCAAACACTGACACTAATGATTAATGCAAAAAGCTGCAGAGTGGGTTTGCTGTAGCACTGCTGCCAGAGAGCTCCTGATCTGTTTGCTGACAGTGCTCACTGTCTCTAAATCCTCTGCAGACCTTGGTCACCGATGGGAGACACACAGAGAGTTTAGCAATAGACTGGGACATGTGACAGTCAGAGCCTGGGAACAGTAGTGCCTCGTGCTGGGTTCTGGACATTCCTGGAGACAACTGCAGAAAACCCCACTGACTGTTTATGCTGTGATTATTTGGTTCAATACGCTTTTCTCACTGGTTCTCTAACCTAAGAGCAGCCTCTCCTCCATCATCGGGCCTCCAGTTGTAACAGTGTCCAAAGGGAGTGTTTGGATGTCAGGGCCAGCTGGAACTGTGAATCATCAGGGTTAAAATTTCAGTTACAGTGGGTTTGGGTGACTCAGATACCCAACCCTCTGCCTCTCATTTCCCTTTGCTTACAGAACAGTTATTTAGTCACAGGATATTTATGGAGATTATCAGGGTTCCTGAAAAACTGGAGCAGGTTGGCGAGGAGCCCTTCCTCCCACACGGAAAATCCTGCTCATCCTGGGGATCCCTTGGCCTGTGAGGCAGCAGCAGATACAAGATAAAGCTGGTTTTTTTCTGAGCATTTGTCTCCTGGGCTCTGTGGGGAAATCACTTTCTGCCAGCTAAAGCCAGCAGCTCTGGAGTTTGCCATGGGGAAAAATAATTCAAATTTGTCTGTTTTTCGCTGCATAAAAATCCTTCTCCTCAGCTGTGTTAAATGCTCCCCAGTTTGCTGTCACTTACTGCCTGCAGAGACTTTGTTTTCCAGCGGATCATGCAACGTAAAGTGTCTGTGAAGCCCAAGCTTGTTTTTGCTGGGAATCAGGGGATTAGCTTCCCTGACCCTATTTGGCTGTCGCTGACCATTGGGCAGTTCTCTAGAATAATTCTTTTTTTTTTACCCGAGTTCATTAGGGGCAGCAGCAGCAAATGGGGCTTTGCTAACGCTCGGCTGGAGCCAGCAGGCACATCCCAGCACAAGTGCCTGTGGGGGGGATGAACCAAATGTGCCACAGGGAATAAACAGCAGCGGCTGGTGGGGGAGTCTGAGCTCAGCGTCACGCGGCCGAGGCTTGTGCTCACACAGGAAAGGGAACTTTAGCAATGAGCTGGTGTAGAAAATGCTGTGTGCTCCCTGTGCTTCCTGGGATTTAAGTGGGATTTAAGTCCGTGGACAGTTCTCTGCCCCACACTGAAACATCGCACACAGATGGGAGGTTCATCCCAAAAGGTACAATATATTATAATACCTCTTTTTCTCTTTAAAGCTTTTATTTTTTATAGCCAGTAATCATACTTTTAACAGAGTTCTTGCTAACTGCTCTTGTTGAGAGCTGCCTTTTTTAATGAGCGATTGCTCTTCCCTCTCTTGCAGGATCGAGTTCCAGAACAAGTTCTACACTGGTACTGGGTTCAAGTTTCTCCCTTTCTCCTTTGACACCATCCGTGAGGGGAGGTTTGATGACTGAGCCCCCCCACACACACTCCAGCAGTGTTAAACACCGTGTGTGTGTGTGTGTGTGTGTGTATGAATGACTGACCCTCCCCTCCTTGTATGTCTGAGTCGTGTGTAACCCCCCCCATAGTGACAGTAACTTATTGCAGCACTCTTGAGCGTTACCATGGCATCCCAAAGCCACGAGCTTTGATGTTCTGGGGTAGCGGGTGACACTGGATCACAGAAACTTTTTGTTCCTTATGTTTACTCTCGAAGATACCAAGTGCATGATGTGTCTGTTTGGTGTGCAGTTGTGTTGTGCATTCCCTGTGTTGTGCATTCCCTGGCAGCTGATCAGGGCAGAAGAGAAATGTAGCTGTGCTGAGGGGGCAAACCAGTACATGGAGAAAAGACCTAAGAACCTCAGCTCCAGAAGAGCGAGGGCTGCTCCCCCTCATGTTGCTGGAGGCTGTGGTGGGGAGGGGGCTCAGGCCTGGCTATGGCCTGGGGCTGGATGGGGAGGGACGAGCTGTGGTGTTGATTGTCATCTCTCACCGCAGGTACTGCCACTGGCAGTGGAACTTCTGGGGTTTCTGGTTTAAAGCCAAAGGTTGCAAAGCCCTCGAGGCACGTTGGGTAGTGCCTGTATGGACTTGGCATTGGTGGAGGCAGCTTTTGCACAGGTGGAGGGACCAGTGGCTTACGCTGTCCTGTGCACTCCAGGTCTGAGGAGCACTTTAAGGGGGAGCAGAGGCCCAGGGAGGTCTCAGTGGTGTGTCCCTGCAGTATCTGTTGCTTTCTCTCCTGCCTGAGCTGTCAGTAATTCCTTGCCCTCCTCAACTCGATGTAGCTGTAGCAGCAGTGGGGTGTTAGTGCTGTGTGCAACCATCGTGTTTAATTCTCACAGTGGAGCTGAATATTTGTATATGAACAGATTAGAACAAAAATGAGAATCATTAACCTGGAAGTGAGGAGGATATGCCTCAAGGTACTGGGCTGCCTAAAATTAGGTGAGAAAGGTGCATGTGCACTGCGTGCTGCAACGTGTGCAGGGCACAGGGACCTTCATGCTGCACCTGGGCAGCCCCTGGGTGCTCACTGGGGTGTGTTTACAGACCTGTTTGTAGACTGAAGGGTGAAATCAAAGTGGAGCTGCAGGTGGAGCACTGACACAAGACCTGGTGTGTCCCACTGTCTGGATGAAATGCTTGACAGTTGCTGACAGTCACTGTATAAATTAAATGAACTGCACAACAAGTGCTTGGTCTGTTTTCTGCTTTCTCTGCACTCACTGAGGGGGCTCTGGGACAGCCCCTTATCCCTGACTGACACTGGGCAGAGTCCCAGAAGCTGCTGGGGGCATCTGGGACCTTCGGTGTTCCTGCCTAGGATCCTTGTTACCCCCATGGCCACAACCAGGGGGTGGGCAGGGCTGGTTTGTACAGTGAGACCAGAGTGACCCTGCCCGGGCTGCAATGTCTCTGCACTTATCGAGCCCCGGCGACATCCTGAGTGAAGACCAGGCCGGGGCCGTTTGTCCCGGGACCTCCTGCCCACCCCGATAAACCCCATAACGGTGGAACTAGGAGTTGTGCAGGAGGAAAAGCTCCGGCTTGATTAACCCGGGGGCTGTGGGTGCTCTTAACGGGAGTGGGGCAACACGGTCTGCATGCCCGGGGCTGTGCCCTGCTCCCGGCCCCCCCAGCCGCAGGGACCCCCTGCTTCCCCCCGGGGGGTGGCGTGTTTACTCAGGCCCTTCCTGCCGCAGGGCTTCTTCCACATGTGCGGGAGCAGCGGAAGGGACGGTTCTGCGGGGTTTTGGCGATTGTGTTGCTGAAGTCGCTGTGTTTCCCGTCTCCTGATGTCCCGGCAGGGCAGGAGCTGCGCTGCATTGCCCCCACCACCATCAGCGTCCCGCACCCCTCGGACGAGGGGCCGGCTCCCCGCCGTCCCGGGGGATGCTCTCCCACCGCTACGGGTACCAGCAGTCCCGGGGGATGCTCTCCTCTTTCACCCGCTCCCCTGCGCTCTTGCACCACTCCCGAGTGCAATCACAATATTTCTGCCCGTTTCCATGGCTCCGGGGCCACAGGGCAGCCCTGGGGGCTCCCGTGGGCTGAGC